AAGGTGCAAAGAACTAGAATTTGTAGTTAGTCACAAATTGAAGGAGAATATGAATTCTTTTGTGCAGGAAACCGAAAATTGCAGTGGAGAACTAGCCAAAGACCAACCTTCAGTTAAAGAACCTGGAAACTTTGTTTCTGACTTCAGTCAGAAATTTGATAGATCTTCTTCTTCTTCTTCTTTTTCTTCAGCGTTTGTCTCGCGCTCTGGCGAGGTCCGCTAATATCCTTGAGTATTGCTTCCACGCCTCTCTGTCTGCCAAGTATGTCGGGTCTGCCTTCGCGATCTCTAGGTCGGCCTTGATCGTGTCCATCCAGCGTTGCTTAGGTCTACCACGCGGTCTCGCTCCTCCGACAGTCACCTTCATTGCAGATTTGATGATGGATTCTTCCTAAATTTGATAGATCAATAGGAGAAAAAGAAGAAAAATTAATACCAAGTGAGCGGTTGGCTCACAGCATTCCAGTGGAAGAGATACTTCAACAAAAACTGAGCCCAGAACAAGAATCAGTGTTGGATAACTTTAATCAAATGCCTAAAATAACAGGAGACTGTGTATATATGGATTTTGTGCAAAGGGAAAACAAGCTAAAGGAACAGCTGGATATGTTGAAAACTGAACAGGTATGGATTAACATATACGAATTCATGAATATATGCGTTTCTGTATGCTTTCTCTATAGGCTAATATGTAATAATAAGGACTTATTATATAAGGGCTTTCTCTTGAGGATGTACAGTTATGTATCTATTTGACATGATTTTCCTTGAATGTGTGAAATTTATTCACAGGTATTTTGAGCAAATCAGTCAATAACTTTGAAACAGAAACACAGAAAACTGATGTCAGAAAAAAACCTTATCCACTAAACCACCTAGTGGTTAAACCCTATCCTCTACAACTTTTTATGAGCTCATTATATTATGTGGAACTATATCATGTTTTGCTAAAATTTAGATAGGTCTATGCAATAGTGGTAAATATTTGTAGCTCGGGTGTAGGATGAGGGGACAAGTTCATTCTCCGAGCTTGTGGGTTGGTTTCTGAACATTTCATGCCAAGCTAGGTAACATCTTCAACAGAGTTTAGGGGGATGCAATATCAGTGTTCTTCTATTTATAGGGACTTCAGGTGTGGGTGTGTCAAGGGTCTTGTGATGGGTCAGCTGTGAGTCATCAGTCATGTGATGGGTCTTGTGATAAGGAGACTACATCAGGTCAGAGTCATTGGGTGGTGAACTGCTGGTGGGAGGAGGATTGCATGGGTTTGTAGAGGGCCAATGCTGGCTCTGGTTAGATAAGCTATGTCCACAATGCCACTTTCATCCAAACATTTGTGACGTATTTTAAAAGATTTAGTTTTTTAGTTTAATTTGATATGATCTGCCCTCATCTGCCCCTGAGTCTGCTTTGGATTTTTTTCCAGGAGTGATTCTATTAACTTCATTACTACATATATTAAGCTCAAAAGCCTATAGTTTCCAACTTCTTCCCTAACCTTTTTCTTGTGGATGAGTACAACATTAGCTGTTAACCAGTCCTGGGGAACTTCACCTTTTAGAAGATACTGGTTAATCAGATCAGCTAATGATCCAGTGAGCACACCTAGAAGTTCCCCCAGGAGATGGGTACTAATCAGACCCATTATTTTCCTTAAGTTTTCAGCAGACAGCTCTCTCCCATCTTCACCTCTAAAAACCCTGGAAAACATCCTAAACTGCTAGGACTAGTATGATATTCCAACCTGTTTTTATTATTGGAATCTATTTCTGAAAAGACTGAGCAAAATTATTCGTTAAGATGGTTTTGCCAGGTGCTAATAAATTTTTTACATATTTTTCATGATCAATTTCAGGTAAATGATAAAATAACCTGGATTTATCAAGATATATGTGCTTGTTACCCAAAAAGCATCTAGAATATTATTTTACTTTATTTTATAGGGTGATGTAAACATAAGATTTCAAAGACTTTAAACATATCTATTTATCTGGAAAAATAGAATATATAGTTTCAATACCAAATGTTTCGTAGGCTTTGAAGAATTTAGTTGGAAATCTCTATTGTGTTCCTTCTTATATGGTCAGATATTCTTAACAGGACATAACGGATACTAAAAATACTTTAGTTTATTACTGAATGTAATATAAGATTTGAATATAAATTAGATCTTTCAAATTTTTTAAAATGTTAATTTGAATGTGAAGGAATATTTAAATGTTTAAGAACTAAGATTAACAGTGATTAAATGTTACTCTGATCAATAATTGGAAAGATATTAGTGGAAAAAGAAAAGGAAAAACCAGTTGTTCAGTATGACAGAAAGACAAGTCAGTCTGCAAGCCACCTGCTTTTACCAGGTGTTTAAAAATTATTAGAGGCTTAATTATTTGGAGAAATGAAGGTAGAAATGCAGAACATTCTCTTCCAGAAAACTTCCAAAACAGGCTGAAAATATTTAGTTCATCTTTCCAATGACATATGTACCATTGTACCTTTAAAAATTAAGAAAATAATTATTATTTTAACAACAGTCTCTAGACTGAGATATAATCATCTACTTTTAAAGGATAATATAGTATTTCACTAGATTGCCATTAGGATAGTTTCCTTAATTATATACCAGAAAAGGGTTAGTGTTACTTTGGTGCTTGGTTGTTTGAAGATACATTTTTGTTCCACCTTAAGATAATTCCGGCCATGCCCACTTCCTAGCACCTAGGCTTTTTAGTAATATTTTTTTTCCTGAATTCCTACTGCATTCACCAACTGTAGCAACTGCCTAGCATGACTGGGGGGGGGGGGGGGGGGGGGAGAGGAATCAACAACCACAAGTCACTGGGGTTTATAAGGCAAGAAAGATTTATTGTCCTTGCTTTTATGGTCTTCAATTCATTTGTAAATATTAAGTATTATTTATCTTGGATGTTTTAATTTTTTGATTAATATATTGCTGAAAAAGAATATTGTCGTAAACTTCTTGGAAAATTGTAGATTAAGGTAGCATACAGTTTTAATAAATAAGTGAGATTATAATCCAGATTACTTATATCTTTAACATCTTGGAGAATAAAATGATTATTAATTTTGTATATGTGTATTTTTCCTTAGAGCGATTTAAAATTACAGATGGAAGCCCAACGTATTTGTCTCCTTATGGTTTACTCAGCGCATGTGAATCAGGTGCGTGAATACATGGAAAATGAAAAAGAGAATGCACTTTCTGCTCTTAAAGAAGAGCTCCAGCTACGTCATACACAAGAGTCGTGTGAACTAAAGGAAAGTCAGATTGTGGACAATCGAAAAACAGGTACATGGATAAATCAGCAGGAAATTATTTTTTAGAATTCTAAGCTTCTTATAATACTCTCCCAGTATATCTCCCCCTTAGGCCATAACCATAGTTTCTTAAAATAAAACTTATTAAAATAAATATTTCAGTGATAATTTGTTTCCACAGATGAAAAAGACCAGTCTGCATGGGTGCATCTGGAAGAACTTAGCAAGAAAGTAGTTGAAGAATGTTCAAAGCTCACTAAGGTCAAGAACCAATTGCCTTAGAACTGTTTAAAAAATGTGTTTTCATTCTTGCTCTAATCTTACAAAATGTTAAATGGTATGCCTTTTTATAATATTGTTAGGCTGTAGTATAAGTATGAGGATTGGGGAAAATACGGGTGAATCTTTTAGGTACTTACCTAAGGAATCTTTCCTGTAATAAAGTTATCTTGTGATTCTTAATGAATGAAAAATAGTATTCCTATGAAAGCTTTATTTGTTTTTTCCCCAGCTGGCTTGATATAATCAATTATAAAGCTATAATATTAATTTTTATTATTTTTATAGTCAGTACGTGAAATTTTTCCTGAACTTTTTTCAAATGCTACTGAACTTGATGTTGGTGAGAGAAATCATTCTAATTCAGCATTAATGCCAACAGAAGACTCTCAAGGTAACTCCAAGTAAACTCTTCATGTGCAAACCTATATGTGGCTTACTTTAAGCAAAAGTTTATAGAATTGAAGTCCTCGGATACAACCACTCGTTCAGTGACTGTTCAAAGTTAGGACATACTAAAAATGGAACTTTTGATTGGTCTGCAAAGTTTTGATAATCGCAGGACTTCACAGACACATGGATCACTATTTGTGATCTTCCCTGTCAGTTTCCCACAAGTAAAATCAGTGGGGAAGCCAGCAAAGAAAGTTGTAAGTCACCTGTATCAAAAGTTGCTGCTGTATCTTTTTTTCTTGGGGAACACTGCCATGGAAGTACAAAATCCATTTTATGCTCTGCAGCTTCCCCTGTCCTCACATAGTACAAGTAGTCTTTGATAGCAATTTGAATGTCCCTTGCTAAGCAATGTAGCCCCATGTGCTATTGTACATCCAGAACAATGTGGGCCATAAAGTGGAAAGAGGCAGGACTGCAGGTGGGAGCACAGGTGATGAGGAGAGAGATAAATCATAATTCAGCCAGATTGTTGGAGGCAATATGCTCACTCAGTAAACCACTTAGAGCTGTAAACACTGTGAAGCGGTATATAAGTCTAAGTGCTATTGCTATAATTCAGTACTTTTATTTAAAGTAATTCATAGAGATTAAAAATTCACATACATCCTTAGACTTTCAAAGATTAATATCTTACTGGCATTATTATAACAAAAGTAGAATACTGTTTAATAAAAATGTATTTTACAACAAGGAATTAAAATTTATATTAGAATAATGAAATGATATATACAGTTTATTTATTCTCTGTAATTTAGTTTTGCAAGGAACCTTACAAAGTCTCCTGAATAATACAATGGAAACGACCCAGAGGCTACTAGAATACCAAGTAGAATTCATAGAAAGCAGAAAAAAGGTAAGATTTGTTAAAGTTGAGCAGAGGGGGAGGGATATGACACTATCTGTTTTTTGTTGCAGTCTTTTCAGCAGTCCAAGAAAGCTTCCACACCTATTTGCACCCTGAGGATACAGATAAGCTCTCAAATGCTTAACAACTCTAAGAGAACTAACAATACACCTTCAGAGTGCTAACAACCAGATAACTGCAAAGAAGTAAATCATTCCATTCCTCACCAGTTAGAACACCAGTTAGAACTGAAGAAGCTTCTTGAATGAGAAGTGAAATATTTTCAAAGGAAAAAAAAGTTCATTTGCTTTTTTGGAAAAAAGCATCTTTGGGTATTGATACACTTCTTGAAAACAATATCTATTTCTGAATAAACTTGCATTAGAGCAGTGGTCGCCAACCAGTGGGCCGTGAGAAAATTTTGGTGGGCCGCAGAGAAATCTCACCCCCAGAGCACCCCCCCAAAAGCAATTAATCCAGGCTGCACAGAAACACACTCTCCCCGCCCACTCATTCCTTACCCAGCAAACTTGTCTGCTAAATTGCTATTTTTCTTTTTTCCAACCATCATCTGTTCTGCTGTGCCTGGAGATTTAGATTAGCTAGGAAGCAGGAGATGGTTGGATTTCTTGCTTTCTAGCTAGTCTTTAGATCTTTAGATTTGTGCTTAAAAGCAGAGCCGAACCTCCCTTAGGACTGAAGGTTCTATTATTCAGTGCAGACTCACGTCAAGCAAATTTAAGAGACTGAGCTAGCCGATGGCAGATAGATAGATCACTGAATGATTCTGTGAGCCGAATTAATCTGCCTGGCTACTTTGCCTGATTTTGGGTAAAAGTTGCTTTTTTATATAAAAAATTCAATATTTACATACATGGTGTGTTGTGAGTTAATTTCGTGAGTTTGCTTGCTAGCAAATTTTATGAGTTTGCTTGCAAGCAAATTTTATGTGACAGACTGAGCTAGCCAATGGCAAATAGATAGATCTCTGAATGAATCTGTGATTCTGTCAGGAACTCAATTTGCCTGCCTGCCTGATTTTGGGTAAAAGTTGCTCTTTTTTTATAAAAAATTCAATATTTATATAAATATTTATAATATTGACATACAAGCCATGCCCAGCCAGTCACATGAACCACCAAGCCACACCCACAAATTAGGCCACGCCCACAGAACTGGTTAGTGGTCCCTGGGATTTAAAATTATGAGTTTGGTGGTCCCTGAGGTCCAAAAGGTTGGCGACCCCTGCATTAAATCTTGATTTATTGATCTGTAGTACAGTGCTACAGGTCCACTTGATAGTGGATACAGAAATTAAAGTTAGATCAATGATGGCTAATCTTTTCGGCACCAAGTGCCCAAAGCACGCATGCCATAGGTTCGCCATCACGGCATTAGATCAAGACAAGAACTTTGGTGTCTCTTAGTTCTGAGATGTTAGAGGAATCTCACCTAGACAATATCTTTGAAGTAGCACAAATGCTGTGGAAAGCCCCACCCCTCTCTCTCCAGGCAATCATATTTGCCTCATAACTGGATAGCATTCAGGAAATAACTTGTACCTCTTTTTTATCTCTTATTTTGTTTTTGTGATTTGGATTGAATGTGTTCTGATTTTGTTGGTGTTTTTATTTAATTGTGGAACTCTTTAGAGTTATGAGATTGTAATGGGCTGAATACTGAAACGTACAATGAGTATTTTGTTCCTCAAGACTACCATGAGTATCAGACATTCTGTTGAACCTACTGTAGTAAATCTGGAACGTAACCTATATAATCTTTATTATTTAGTGTATTGTAAGAGGGAAAAAATGATGTAGGAAATATAAATAGCTGTAGACTTTCTCAAATATTGCAATTTTTTTTCCAGAAGATGCTAAATTTAAAATGTTCTGGTGTCCTAAATATATTATGATTTGAAATATTAAATACAATACGTGTAATACACTAAGAAATAAATCTTATTAGAGTTATTGGGGTTTTGATGTATAGGGTTTTTAAAATTAATTTACTTAATTTTACTTAATAAATAAAATCATATTTAATAAAATAAAATCTGACATGTATTAAAAACAAAGCATTATCTTGATATTTAACTTTATTGATATATTTGAAAATACAAAAAAAAAACCAAACTTTTGTTTAATTTTAAATTTATAAACAAGCATAGCATTTCATTGAACCCGCGGTGGTGCAGTGGTTAGAATGCAGACTACTTCTGCTAACTGCCAGCTGCCTGCAATTGGGCAATTTGAATCTCACCAGGCTCAAGGTTGACTCAGCCTTCCATCCTTCCAAGATGGGTAAAATGAGGACCCAGATTATTGGGGTAATATGCTGATTCTGTAAACCACTTTTAGAGGGCTGTAAAGCTGTATATATAAGTATAAGTGCTATTGCTATTGAATAACTGAAATAATAACTTCAGCCTTGGATATATAATATTTCTTGTGTTTTGTAAATACAAATGTCCAGGCAATTATTACTGAATTCATGGAATATGTTATGGGCAGTACATTGTTAGAAGTGCAAAAGGTTCAGAACATTATAGTGATGGAAAAATTTCTACTCTTTTGCCAAAAATGGTTACTTTGCAGATTTTTAAAAATTAATGTACATGTTTTTCTCTACTTTTTGTTATTGTTTAAATTTTTCAGATGGAAGATCAACAGACATCCCATGCTGATTATAATGATAAAGAGACTGGCTCTCTTCAACAGAATGTAGAATCTTGGCCTACTGCATCTCAAGATCTAGTTGGTAAAGATATGCACCTTAAATTATGGACTTATGTTGGTAATATAAATAGACTTATATTGTTAATATAAGTAGACATGCATGGTTTTAAAACCTTTATGCATATGAAAGAAATACAAAAGGAAAGGAAACTATAGTACAGTATAATAATCTTAGTTTATTATATTTTGTAATCTGAGTAATATATTTAATATCTTAAAATGTTTATAGTTTAAAGATTTAAGTTCAGATCTAGATATCTTCATGCTTCTCAGCAAAGCAAAATACCTCTTGTCTATTTTCATAGCACTGAAATTTTTTTGAACTCTGTAGGCATGGTGAGGCTGCCTATGAATGTTCATAATTTCGTCACTCAGTTTATATCTGAAAAATTGTGTGTGTGTGTTTGTATAAAATTTTAAGATATTATTCTGACATATTCATTGCTTGTTTTTTTTATTAAGTAAACTAGTGTTTATTATTTATTCATTTATAGACATTAAAGTTAAGTCAGTTTCTCAGGAAGAAGTAGAGAACTTGAAATTTCAATTAGAAGAACAATATGCCCCCAAAATTGAGCATCTTTGATCATATTTCCATCAGCAGTTAAAAGAAACTGAAGAAAAATATTTTATCGAGATAGTTCACCTATAGAATAGACTCCAAATTGCCAGTGCATCTTCTGAAAATTCCAGGTATTTATAATTTTGGATCCCATTTTTATTTTATGATTTGAGTTTATTTCAACAGTTTTTCTGTGTATTCAGAATTAATTTTGATGCTAACAGACTCTGACCAAGGTAGAAAATTGAGAGCTTATCCTTCCTGTTTTGTATTTTCCTAATTCCAGCCATGTTTCATTTAAAAGAAGGAAAAGAAGTTACAGTTGGATCTTTATACTTGATTCCATGTGTCCTGAATGATCTAGGAGAGTGATACCCAACATTTCTGGCTTGGTGGCCCAGTGGATAGGGGAAAGGTTTTAGTTCCTTGTGAATAATAGATGAGGCACACATGAGCACATGCAACTCCATTTGTTCACAAATGGAATTCTTGCAGTCGTGCAAGTCAATACCTCAAGATGGCTGCCACTTGCACGAGGGAAGTTTTGCACACAAGCACAAGATGGACATTCGTACGAGGGCATGCGGTCATGCTTGTGCGAGACAATTGCCACTTGCATCAGGGGAGCTTTGTGCACGATTGCAAGACGGCCACTGGTCGCACACATACATATGCACTTGCCCACCACTGTGTGACTCTGTTTCGAATAGGTTGTGACAGTGTCGTGGACTGGAGATTGGAGACCCCTGATCTAGGTAAAGTGTATATTGCAGCGCAGTTATAGAGCATGGGGCTTGCATTCAGAAGATCCCAGATATAATATTCAGCATTTCCAGGTAGTGCTGAAAAAGACTTCTGCAACTTGTCATAATTGTTGTATATGATAGATGGGTAGGATCATGGGTATATACCTATCTCCAGTTTGTAAAGGGGAGAGTAAACAAAGAAGAGAAGTCTATTACTTCATCTCTTCATTGCAATCAGTAAGATGAAAAGAATGTATAGAATGTATCTGAATTCTAAAGAGAAAAGATTGCTTATATATATTTATCCTGAAAATTGTCATACAGATTATTATTGATTTCATTAATAAATATGTAAAAATATGGATTTTGTATTGGTACATTATACAGTGTTGTATTTCCTAAATAATAATGTCTATTATATGGTGTTTTTTTCATTTTAGATATAAATAATTCACCTAATAATATGGTATTTATCTGCAGGATTTTTTCATTATTGAAAAAAGCTTATCATTTTCTGATACTCTTTTTTCTCAAGTAAAAAAAGTCTTCTGTATTGCCCCACTGTTCCTATAACCCGAGAAGCAGAAAATTGATGACAATCTAAAATAAAGTGAGACCTCAATTAAGGACTGCCTCATTTAATGATTATTTGAACTTAGCAATGGTGCTGAAAAAGTAGGTTTATGATTACTCTTCAAACTTAGGACAGCTGCAGCATCCCACAGTCTTATGATTGCCATTTGTGACCTTCACAAGTGATTTTGGTGGTTGCCTTGATTAGGCTGTTAGTTGTTGAACACTAATGCATCCATGAACACAAACTAGAGTCAGAAGATATGATGGGCAGAGAATTCTTGGAAGTCTGGCATTCAGACAAATCAGCTTTCAATGTGGAATAATCAACATCTATATATCATTCCAAGACTCAATCCAAAAGTAAAAAAGGATATGAAATGATCAACCTCCATATCATCAATGAATATCCAGAAGAGCAGAAATTAACACCAATAGTCAAGAAACAAACAATACCTCAATCATGAAGCTACCAACTCAGATAAACTAGCTAACAGCAAACAACAGCCTAATCAAGGAACCATCAAGACCATTTCCACCAACCCTGAAAAGGCAGGCTACTAGTGTATAAAATGAGAACAAAATCCACTCTCTCCTAGCTCTGATAATGTTACCTGCTTTGGTAATGAAATGTCTGCAAGAAAACCACCAAGCTTAAAAGAGCACGAAGGGCACCTCAGTTCAACCTTGAACTATAGATATTCCCTTCTATTGGTGATGTATAATCTTTCAGAAGCTGCTTATGCCTTTTAATAAAATCTGTTGCATCATATTAAAGCAGCAAGAAATTGAAGTCCTCCTATTCCATTTCAAGTTGCTGTTCAAGATTTGAAGAAAATTTAAAAGAAAAAACTACAAGGATGTATGAGCAGTCCCCCGTTTCAAGGATAATTTATAATCTAGATTCCAAAAGAGGAGTGACTTGCATTTAAGGAACAAAACTAAATAACAGCATCCTACACTTCCTTCTTACACATCTGCTTACTGCAGTTTTTAAATGCCTCAACAATAGTGTGAGCAACAACTGAAGGATCAAAAAGTCTTTGTTCCATCTGAGTGTTGATCATGCACAAAAGAATGAGGCTGCTTATTTTAGGCTGAAAATTGGGAAAGTATAAAATTCCTGGTGAAGTCCCATTCAAGTACTTCCTTGTGGTTAGAAATTGTCAGGCCCTAATTCCCTGCTTTAAAAACTTCAAATGAAATTACATTGAAAAACTATCCAACTTCTCAATTTTTCTTTTTTTAAATTAGTGTTTCTGTGAAGTCACATGTAAATGAAGATAAGCAGGAAGCAAAACATGTTGAAGGTGATACTAAAAAAAATGCTGAGAAGATAATAGAGGTACTATGTTTCCCTATTTACACAATGTATATTGAATAGAAAATATAAAAATATATTTTATATTGTTATTTTACTTAAGCAAAACCCTA